GAGCGCCCCGACGCAGAGCCGCAGTGCCGGCAACTTCGACGTGGAGTACGATGAGACTTCGGGGGGCTATCTTGGGCGTGCGCCCTCGGCGAACTGTAGCGGGAAAGCAGTGAGAAAGAGTAGCACCGCCCTTTCGTTAGCGGCTCTGTGCTTTCGCCATCGCCCAGACGTTCATCCCCCCATTCATTGGTTTGCTTCGTGCATGTTCTTTTCGGCCCAGGCTTGGCATCGCTCGGACGGGTGTCTTTTTTCTCGGCGAGAACCATCGAGAAGCGTCCTGGATCATCTTGCGGAAATAGAGAAGCGCGCGAGATGGGTCGAAACTGCATGGGGAATGGACTTCCGAGCGATGGCGAGCTATACAGTGGAGGCCCATGCCAAGAAACACCCCGATTGCCTCCAGGGTGTCCTGGTTTTCTTGGGTCTCGATGGCACTGCTATGGAAAGCGTGCCGTTCCCACACCAAAGACCAGGGGACGTCCTGGGGTCTCAGGGTTGGGTTTCTCGTGGAAGGTTTCTCGTGGACTGGCCGCAGAGAGCCCTTCTAGAGGTTAGAGGTTTCTTGTGGAAGGTTTCTTATGTGGAAGCGTGGAGAAACACGAGAGGCCATACAGAAGAGTGCAGACTGCCCTGCCAAGAGTGGAAGACAAGTCAGGGCCAGTCTTCTTCTTGTGGACTGGCCTCTTTCTTCTAGAGGTTTCTTGTACACTGGAAGGTTTCTTGTGGAAGGTTTCTGTATGCGGAGCGCTCCAGAGAGGGCCTCGCCTTCAGGGCACCTCGCGCTCGGCGGAGGCCGGCGGGTGGCCACCTGCGCAGGCGGCGGAGGCAAGACGAGGAGGCGCGCCCACCCGCGGTGGCCGGCGAGGCGGCGGAGGGAGAAGGGAGATGCCAGCATTGTTGGGTTCGTGATTATAAACAGTTTGTCGTCTACTATGCTTGCTTTTGGGGGGACGCTCTCGTCTTTCTCCCCCCCCTCTTGCACGCCAGCCAATAGGCCTTCCGGCTGCCCCGAGTAACCACACGCTGGAGCGGACTGCTTCTGCCTCGCCGCCGACGAACAAGTATTTTTTTTGTTTTGTCTCTCTCTCTCTCTCTTTCTCGTTCGCCCGCTCTCTCTTTTTTGTTTTTTGTCTTTCTCTCTCTCTCTCTTTCTCCTTTTTCTCTCCCTGGCACGCCCCCGACCATGGTATCACGTGTCCATCCATTCCCCCTCTCTCCCTGCTGCATTCCTTTCGAGCACTTGTGAGATCGATTGGCCCCCAGACGGCGTTCACAGGTCCAGCCGAGGCCGTCACCCTGACAGCGTGGGTGCTACAGCGTGCTCGCGGGACTTTCGATAAATAATTTCGGAAACAGTTGCTCTCTCGCATTTGTCCCTGACGCGGCCCTTGTCTTGGTGGCAACGGGAGGTCAAGGATCAGGTGCCTACTCGACAGAGCAGGTGCGCCCCCATATCGCAGCGGCGAGACAGCAGCAGCTCCTCTTTGCCAGCCTACATACAACGCCGACACCACCAGTTTGCGTTTGGTCATGGCCGGTAGGTGTCTCACGGGACGTAAGATAACCGAGGATTTGTTCACGAACCTGGACGTCCGCTCCCGCATCGTTGCCCGCCTCGGTCCGAGCCCGCGTTGGGTCGTGCGCTTCACGCGGACATGCTAGAGTCACAACGACTACTTCCACTCCTGGAGCAACCAGCTCCGCGTCAGCTTCATCCGGGCGATGATCGAAGAGGACATCCGTTATCAGCAGACCATTGCGGCATCATGCCACAGGTCCCCAAATCTGAGCTCCACTTCTACGTCCAGCAGTTGCTGGTCCCAGGGGTCGTAGAAGAAGAGGAAGAACAACCGATTGAGAGACCAACTGTCCGATGGCCTCTCCTTTCCCGCCGCCTCCAGGACCATAATTTAGTGCACAGCGTTGCCGAAACCACCCTGTCGAAGGACAACCAGCTCTCGCAGGAGGCGTCCAACCAAACCCTCCTGTGGATGGGGGGGCAACGCAACCATCGACATGCGGTGGCGAGACTGACCAGCATTGTGGCCATCCTAGTTGAGTTGTCGCAGGAAACCCACCATCTCATTATATACCGTTTCGTACAGTATATTGATGGAGTTCGATTGCGTTGGCCTGATGTTATGTCACGTAGGTATTCTGCGCATACGTCGGGATCCCCAGCAGAGGCATGCACGTAGATGGGCACAGAAGCTAATGAACATCATCGCTCCAGACTATCAGGCAACACTCCAAACATGGGAAGGTCCTCTCATCATGTCTTCGTTATCCTGTTTTCTTGGCCCGCCGCAGAGCCCTATTCAAGCAGTAGTATACGCATGTAGCAGGTAAAGCAGTACTGCGTGATGGACGGTTGTTAGGACTACTTGGATTAATTGCTGAGCATCCTAGAGCGATACTACACTGGCGTCAAGGGCCAGGACGACGCCCTCGTGATCGGTTGCTTCGAAAAGTGTTGAGTCGTGATATATGTATCCCAGGTGCCCTTCTCAGGAATGAGGAGGCCCGCTTTCACTTTGAAGCGTTGACCCTTCGAAGATTCAGACATCATCTCGTAATGCAGCAGATCCTCTCGAGTCAGAGGCAGCGAGTTTAAGACGTGAGACGGGCATATTAAATGCAATGCAGCGATCACGGCGACACCTACGCAACGCCCCCCATCATGGCGAAGAGGACCATTTTCAAAAACGACGGCGCATGCATGCACATCCACATGCCCAGACGCGCACCAGGCCAGACCGCAGGTATCCTCGGCGACGACCTTCGGCACCATGTGCCCTGGGGCGCTGTCCGAGTGGGCCCCGTATGCCGCCTTCTACCGCCTACAGCAGGTCGAACGCCACTTCAAGACAGGAACAGCGGTGCCGCTATGGTTGTTTCAGCCAGAGCGAGTTAGGCTGCTGCTCTCATGCATCGCAGCAGAATGGCGCGACCTACTTGCGATCCGTTGCCAGGCCAAGCACGAGGTCGCAGCGCGCTTATACCGTGCGCTATCACTCGCGGATCGGCTTCTCAGGTCGTTCCAACCGTCAGCGCGCAGCATCGCATCGTGTGGACCTACGCCTGCGACGCCCTCAGATGCCACGGGCCCGACCACCGCCTCTCAGACTTCTGGCTGCGCCCCAAGAAAAGTGGCATCGGCAGCGGGCGCCGGCGTCGTCGAAGCGCACGGGGCGCCCCATGCGGCGCGCGCCGATGCGATCGATGCACATCGGGCCGCCCAGAGTCTCATCCCGGAAGCAGAGATGTTGGACGGACAGCGCGTCGGCCAGCAGGTTTTGCGCGACGTGCGAGACAGCGGCGCGGCCGCGCTTGCCTGGCGCGCCATTGGCCCCGCCTCGGCGTCTCGCCCGCCCGGCAGGCCCACGGCGACCCCCCGAGCGGCCCCGGCCTCGACAAGCCCTGGGCGAGGCGAAGGCGGCCGTCTATAACTTGCCCAGCGGGCCCGCCTACCGCAGCCTGTCTTACGACGTGGTCTACGACGCTTACATCGGCGGGCCCCCCAGGAGCGGGTCGCCCCGCCAGGCGCGCCACAAGGGCGGGGCCAGCGTGGGGGGGCCATGGAGGGCGCCCTGAAGGACCGCGACGCACGCGCGATCATCTCGGGCGACAAGGGCCGCGACAAGGCGCGGGCGCGCGACGGCGATGGCGCGATGAGGTTCCTACGCCAGTTCGCGCGGACGGACCCGGACTGGAAGCTCAGCTGGGCGTCTCCCCGCGGGATGCCGCGGCGCGGGCGCGGGGCCGCGCCGTCGCCGCCCTCCAGTCGCGGCCCCGCTCCGCGCGGCGCGCGCCGCCGATCGCGGCGGAGACGAGGCCGCCGTGCGTCTTCCCCGCGGTCAGAAGAGAATGCGTCGCCCCCGCAGGCCGGGAGACATGTCGGAAACCGAGTCATCGCGGCGCGGGGCGGGCGACTAATGGCCCCGAAGCCCCAGGCTCCCGAGGCTTCCAGATCATCGACCAGGCGGTGCGTGATATGCTTCAACGGTTGGTTCTCAGCTCAGAGGCGTCTAACTTGAGCGATACTGAAACAAAAGCGCGGGCCCTCCGCGCCCCCCCCCCCCCCCCCCCCCGCGCACACGCGCGCGCGTGCGCGCGCGCCGTTCAACCGCGGCGTGCCAGATTTTTTGAGAGCGTGTGCCATGTTTAGCAGATGCGTACCAGGCATTCGAACAGCGCGACTCCTGTGCAGCATGCAAAGCGTGGTCCGAAGTAGCGAGCGAGATTGCGGAGGTCGCGGGAGTAGACTCCGCCCCGGCGAAGCAGCCCCGCAGCCCCATGACGAAGCCGCGGGCTGGATCAGCACCCCCAGGCTGGGTCAGAGCGTCGGCGGATGATGCGCACCATGCCCTACTGTCGTTTACTTGGATGTCGCTGGTATCCCTAGGGGGCGTCATGTATGAGATGAAGGGCCCCTCCCATATTGGCGGGGCCCTCTCGGACGTCGCACTATCTGCCCTCGCGTGCTGGCATGAGTTCAGGGCGAAGAAGGACCTCCCAGGGATGGCCTCTGCAGACATCCGTCCGACATGCTGGGGGTGAGTACACGCCATTGTAGGACATGCACCTATCGGCACTTCTGCAAGGCGCGCCCATCAGGCTGAGCCCAGCGACGCCCTTGGAGGGCCCCGAGGGCCCCTGCGCCTGGATCGATTCAGAGCTCCACGCGCCCCTTGACGTCGTCTTCGCCCCCCCCCCCCCCCCCCCAAGAACCGCGGCATGCTGTGGTTGCGCGGTCTGAGGGAGTTGCGGTCCAAGGCCAATATCATCCAGTGGCCTGGCATTCCTCTTCGGAAAATCAACGTGTTGGCATCCTTGCGCTCGGCCAGATATGCGAGGGCCCAGTTCCTAGCGTTGGCGCCCCTTGCATCCGCGGCCTGGGCACAAGAGCTCACCTTGGAGCTCATCCCCCTCGAGGGCCACGCGAGCCCCATCATCGCTGCTGCCCGTGCGGCCCCGCGGGGCGCATCTGTACCACGGGTTCGAGCTGTCCGGCGCGTCTGGCGCAAGTCGTCGCGCGCGACCTCCAATCGGTAGCCGCGGGAGGTCGCGCTGGCCGCAAGGGCTTGCAGAGCCGGGCCGGGAGCTGCGACCGCGGCTGCGACGAGTACGACGCGCGCGATCGCGACAAACAGGATCGGCGCGGCTGCGACCGAGATCGCGACCGAGAGAAGGGGCCGCCCGCCGACGCCCAGACTCCAGGGACAGGACGGACAGCCGCTGGGATCGCACGCCTAACCGCAACCGGTCTCGGGATCGGGGCTCCAGCAGCCGCGGGCGCCGCGACCGCTCAGGCGATCGTGCCCCGATGGGGCCGCGGCAGCGACTTGTCGCCCAAGGAGATCGACGAGATGAAGAGCCCGGCGGCCCAGGATGAGGAGTTTGCCGCGCGGCAACATGACTTCGGGCACCGCCAGCAGGAGATGGAGCCCAGGGCGCAGGGGGGGCGCGTCGCGTCGGCGCTCCAGAGTGCCTACTCGGCGCAGAGCGGTGTCATCAAAAAGCGCCTCGCTACCCGGGGGCGCCCGCCAGCGCCCCCTGCTCGCAGCCCGCCCCGCCGAGCGCGAGCAGGACCGGGATGAGCTCGCCCGCGCGGAGATTGGCCGGCTGCAAATCGCCATCGGAACCGCGCCCAAGTGATCTCCAACGGGGGGCCGCACGACAATCGAGGAGATCACGGCCAGGACCCCCCAGGACCACAAGGGCGCCACCGCGAACGCCAACCAGGTGCTGCAGGGCCACGCGACGCGCTGGCAGATCCCAGTGCGCCGCGAGGAGAGGGTCCAGACCCTCATGAACGCGGTTCTCGGCGAACTCGGCTGAGCGCTCACGTCCTTCGAGGGCGACCGATTCGAACGTGGAGAACTACAGCGCGATGTGCCAGCCATGGGGAGAGGAGATTGGGTTCCCATGCAAGCGTTCTACATGTGCTGGCCCTCGGCGTTTGTATCCACATGTGGCTGCCATCGAGAAGCTATCGCAGCATTGGAGACATCCAGGCCTACTGGCTTCTCAACTGGAGCCATGTCAAGGAAGCTTGGGGATTCGAGGAGCCCAACATGTCATCAATATGCTTGAGCTTCCCTTTTCAGTCTGTTCGACCAGCACAGCTGCTCTCGCGCAGTCGCGCGCATCAAGAGGTGCTGGCGTGGTGGCGCCCGCTCCCTGGACACCAACCACGGGGGCGGCCATCTCATGCCCAAAGCCCCGCAGGCGGGAATTGCCCACCCCGGGGTTCCAGGTGAGGAATCCAGTCCTGGCGTCGTGGTCCAGTGGCGGCAATGATTTTGTGACCGCCCCCCCTCTCCGACCCGTCCACCTAGTCTTGCACTCCGTTCCCTCGGCCCCCCCCCCCCCGTTCACGGCGCCGCCCCGTGTCGGGCGCGGGGGGGGCGACGCATGCCACCGCCTCTCCTGTTGTTTTTGTTTGACTTGATTGATGGGGTCTCTCTCTCTCTCTCTTTTTTTTTTTTTTTTTGTTTTCTCTCTCTCTCTCTCTCTCTCTCTATGTCCGTAAGGGCTTCGCCCCCTGCCGCCGGCCCCCTCTCTCGGAGAATGGGCCATGGAAGAGCTAAGGCATGAGGCCTTGGCGCTGTCGTGAAGCAGTATCGAAACTTCATGCGAAGCCGAGTCGCAATCATCAAAACCAACTGATCCCAAGAGGGGTTACCACACCTGGCGATTGGTAAGACGTGTATGGTTTAAGGGCTTGGTTACCACACCTTGCGATGAAAAGGGCCGAGGGAGTTCTCGCAGTTTGGGTTACCACGCTTGCGATGGATGTGCGTGATGGGTTCGAATTTCAGGAATGTGGCAAATCCCCTGTGTTTTTGGACCCTGACCCCGCGGATCTGCGTGAGGGGTGGCACCGAATTTCAGAAATGTGGCAAATCCCGTGTGTTTTTGGACCCTGACCCCGCGGATCTGCGTGAGGGGTGGCACCGAATTTCAGAAATGTGGCAAATCCCTTGTGTTTTTGGACCCTGACCCCGCGGATCTGCGTGAGGGGTGGCACCGAATTTCAGAAATGTGGCAAATCCCATGTGTTTTTGGACCCTGACCCCGCGGATCTGCGTGAGGGGTGGCACCGAATTTCAGAAATGTTGCAAATGACCCTGTGTTTTTGGACCCTGACCCCGCGGATCTGCGTGAGGGGTGGCACCGAATTTCAGAAATGTGGCAAATCCCCTGTGTTTTTGGACCCTGACCCCGCGGATCTGCGTGAGGGGTGGCACCGAATTTCAGAAATGTGGCAAATCCCTGTGTTTTTGGACCCTGACCCCGCGGATCTGCGTGAGGGGTGTCGATTTCGAGCCCCCCCACCAATTCAGACAACGCGCCCAGGGGACGCTGGAAAATCCTGTTTGGGCCTCCCCCCCCCTCGCGCGGTCAATCAACTAGTTACAGTAACCAGCAATAACTCAACTAGTTACAGTAACCAGCAAGAAGCAGAATTGTAACACTGGAAACTACAATCTACGACTGGTACAGGAAACTGCGAATCACGTGCCTACAGCCTGGTGGCCCCACAAGGGGGCCGGCGGATACATATATATATATATATATATATATATATATATATATATGTAAAAATATATATGTGTATATATACATATATATATATATATATATATATATATATATATTGCCCGCCCTCGATCATGTTATCGCGTGTCCGTCCGTTTCTCCTCTCTCCCTGCGGCGTTCTTCTCGGGAACTTGTGAGATCGGTTGGCCCCCAGACGGCGCTCGCAGTGCCAGCCGAGGCCGCTGCCCTCACAGCGAGGCTGCTCCAGCGTGCTCCCGGGATGTTCGATACATTGTCTCCGAAACAATTACGTTCTCTCTCTCTCTCTCTTTCTCTCCCTCCATGGTTGCAGACGCTCTCCGTGGCGCGTCCCGACGCATACGAGTCAGCGCCAGCTGCCCCGCGTGTGCAGGGGTGCGTGAGCTGAGGTGCACTCGGCGGGGGAGCGCAAGTGGACAGCATGCTTCGTTTGATTGTTCGTTTGCGCGTTTAGGGCACGAAGGGGATAGCACGAGTCATCCGGTGGATTTGCATTCTCAGGGCACGAAGGGTCGATCCACACAGCTTTGGCCGGGCACCTGCAGGCCGCAGGCCCAGCGAAGCCCCCCCCCCCTCTCCCGCAGGAGGACGAGGAGTTCAGCGAGGATGAGGAGATGGAAGAGGACGAGCCCATCAGGAGCTCGGGGGCCGTGCCATCAACCGTATTGACAGTACACTGGGAGCCCACGCCAAGAAACACCCTGCTTGCCTCCAGGGTGCCCCAGGTTTCTTGGGTTTCGATGGTTTTACGATGGAAAGCGCGACGCGCCCACACGAGAAATCTATGGACGTCCTGGGGTCTCAGGGTTGGGTTTCTTGTGGAAGGTTTCTCGTGGTCGAGCCCCTACTGTATGGCATCTCCCGCCGCGTGGTGCAGCGGTTCCTTCTCGGCGCCTCCAGTTCCGTACCGCAGGTTTGCGTGCGATGACGTGACAGCGACCCGAGCGCGGGCGTTTGATGTTCAACGCCGCCAGCGGCCCGGAGTCGGCCGACGTCATGCGTTCTGCGCCGTCGGGAAGCTGCGACCGCTCAGGATCGAGCGATCCACGCGGTGTTGGCAGAACCCGGGGGCGACGCCATCGCGACGCGAGCCCGCCTTCGCATCGGGTCCTGGACCCCGAGGCCTTCCCCCCAGGACGAGATTTCCCGTGCGCGCCGTTCTCGGACACCCCTGGGGCCCATGGCGGGCCCCGAGAAAACCGGACGCGGCGAAACACCTCAGGACCCGGTTGCCCCAGCACCCGTTTACCCTTAGGTCGGGCATGTCCTCCTACAGACGGATCTTGGGCGAACGTTGAGAAACAGTCAACACATCAAAACTAGTCAAACAATGGGGCCCGTACTATTTTGTCGACTAGTTGGGAATCCTCTTCCTGTGGAGGGACGGGCCCGATTGGAGGTTACCCCATGGCGACCGCCGCAGCCGCCCTGCCGACGTGGGTGCTCGCCAGGCCGGGCGGGCGGGCGGGCGGCCTTCTCGGGGCGCGGCAAGGGCGCCAGGAGGGCCGCCGCGCGCCCCGGGCGCACGGCCGTGGGGCCAAAAGGGCCGCGGACGCCGCGGGCGCCCGCTGCCAGGCGGGCCGCGCGACCGCCCCGAGAGGCGACAGGCTCCTCCTCCTCCTCCTCCTCCTCCTCCTCCTCCTCCTCCTTCTCTGGGCCCGGGCGTCCGAGGGCTTGCGCATCTGCAGGCGAGGCGCCGGGCAGACGCACCGCTCGAACGGCACCCTGCAGCGGCTGCTGGCATCAAGGGGCGGAACTGGGCGACCCCCGTCGACTGCAGTACAGTCGGGCTGCTGCCGGAAGGAGCGCCAGATCCGAAGCGCCAGGGTGCACGGCGCTCGATCTTTGTTCGAGGCGCGGGCCCCAGGAGGTCTCACTTCCCTGGGGCCCAGTTGAGGGCCCCCCGGAAGTTGAAGCTGGCTCCAGGCACCAGCGGGTGGTTATTGGGGGGGTGACGTAAATGGGGAGTGAAGACGAGGGCCCCAAAGGAGCCCTGAAGGGCCCTGGAGCCAGCGGGGGCCCTAAAGGGCCCCTTTCGGGGCCCTTCCCTCCACCCTCCATGTACGTCAACCTCCACTACCAACCGCCCGACAAACCAGCCCCCCCAATGGCTGCGGAGCCGCGCACCTCTGGGCGCGACGCTCCTCCTTCTCCTCCTCCTCCTCCTCCTCCTCCTCCTCCTCCTCCTCCTCCCCTCCGCTCGGGGGGGGGCGGGTCCGCGCCTTCGCGACCCCCTCCGGAGGGAGCCTGCGCCTCCCGTGCGCAAGGCCCCCTCGCCGCGCGGGCCTCCCCGGTTTTCACTGGCCCGCCCGGGCGGCTCGGCCCGGCGCTGGGCTCCCAGGCCACGCCACGCGCCACGGCGGCGCTCTCCCCGGCGGCGCGGGCCGCTGCGCTCTGTCGACGGCGCGTGAGACCCAGAGGTCCAACGCACCGAACAAATCAAGACGGCGTTCTGTTCGCAGTTTTCGGCCTCTATAAGGGCCCTCGCCGGGCCGCGGGACCGTCAAGAAACGACTCAGGATGAAAAACTGGTCCTGAGGAATGGGTCGAGACTTCTGGGGACCCGATGGGGTCGGAGTAGATAGGGTCGGAGGGTCGCGCCGCATCGCCGGTGCATCGCCGATGCGGCGCGATGCGGAGCCCGATTTTCTCCGCGCCGATGGCACCGATGCGTCGCCGATGCATCGCCGATGCATCGCCGATGTATCAACGATGTATCGCCGATGTATCGCCGATGCGGCGCGATCCTCCGATCCCATCTACTCGGACCCCACTAGGAGGCCTCTAGATGCGGCAGTAGCGCCTTGCGCCCTTGTGCTTGACCCCCCCCCCGTGGCCCCCGAAGAGCCGCGCACCGAGGGTCACTCGTACCCCGGGTCACTCTTGCGTGCAGTCGACGCCGGGCACGCCCAGTCGTGCCTTTTCGGGGGTGCCCTGGGCCTGGGCATTCGGTTCGACAGGACAAGGCAGCCCCATCCCGTCACCGGGATGCCACTAATCATCCCTCCCGCATCGCCTCTCGCGTTTTTTCCATTGTCGGAGCTTGGCCGCGCCAGAGCTCTGCATTGTTTTCAGGGGCCACGGCCTCACGCGCCTTGCCCCAACAGGCACAGTTTTGTCAGTTGGCGGGGCGAGAGCGAACCCCTTCCGCTAAAAGCTAGGCGGGCTACGCACAGCTTCAATCAGGGAGACAGGGCGCAGGCGGGCGGGGCCTCAGGCGGCCGGAGTGGGCGGGGCCCGGGTGCAGGCGGTGCCGAAGAGCTTGCACTGGAAAAGGTACGCCGCAGACAGGGACCACCCCAACAGGCACAGGCCCGCGCGCTTCGCCGCATGCGCCTGCACCAGCGCCTCGTCCGCTCGCCTGGGCCTGCGCAGCGCCTCGGCCGGAAACTCGCGCAGGGCACGCGTGAGGTGCTCACAGAGCGCACGGGCGTCTCAGCTCTCGCCCTGTCGTCTCCCCACAGTCGAGGGAAGGAGGAGGGAAAGGAGGAGGAGGAGGAGGAGGAGGAGGAGAAGGAGGAGGAGGAGGAGGAGGAGGAGGAGGAGGAGAGTCTCCCCAACCCCGAGAAGGCTGAGGGCGAGGGAAGGACACCTCGGGCGCACGGTGGGCATCCGAGGGACTTCTGTGGACGCCTGGGCCTCGGAGCCCCGAAGACGCCGAGGTGCAACCTCGAGCGCCTGGGACGTCGTCGTCGTGGTCGTCGTCGTCGTATTCGTCGTCGCAGTCGTTGTCGTCTTCGTTGTCGCGGTCGTCGTTGTCGTCGTCGTGGCCGTCGTCGTCGTCGTGGCTGGTCGTCGTCGTCGTCGTGGCCGTCGCCCTCGGAGTCCCGAAGACGCCGAGGTCTCGAAGACGCCGAGGTGCCGAGGACGATTTTCACCCAACTTGCGAGATCGCCCAGTACGGCGGGATCCGGGCTCGGGGTTTACCTGACCAGCTCGGTGGCACGCACGCTGCCGCGCGTGCCAGCACTGGCGGGAGCGTGCACCCCAGGCCTCCGATGTCGTGATCTGCTTGCTCACGGCATGGGCCCCTCGGAGGTCTGGAACCCCGCCCGGGGTTCTGAGAAGGCCTTCGCCTTCTCGCTTCAGCCCCCCTTCGCTCCCCGCCGAGTTGCACGATCTGCTGCCGCCCTCGCCCCTCCCCCTCCTCCTCCTCCTCCTCCTCCTTTCCCTCCCCCTCCTCCTCCTCCTACTCTTCCGCCTCCTCCTCCTCCTCCTCCTACTACTCCTACTCCTCCTCCTACTCCTCAGGAGGAGAAGGAGGAGGAGGAGGAGGACCAGTGTAAATCCAAGAGTAATCAACGATGTTGGAATACACCGTCCCTCCAAGCTCCCTCTTCACAGGCCCCTGCAACGGTTCATTTCCACTGAGGGAACTGCATCGTTGGAGGACAACCGTTGGAACACCCTGAAGCATGCCAAAACCCTGTTCTCGGGATTCCAACGCTGAATCAACCTGACTGTTGCGTCTTGACGATCCTGAACCGTGCCAGAACGTCATTCCTGGGACGTCAACACCGCGAATCAACGTAACTGTTGACCCTCATAATCCTGAATCCTTTCTAAACACCATCTCTGGTTCGCTGACCATGGGAATCCGCGAAACTCTGGTATTTTTTAAAAATCGAATGTGCGCGGCGCGACGGCGAGAGCCACTTTTTGAAAAGGAACCGACCTCAATCCGCAAAACTCTTGCAGCAATGCAGCAAATTTGTAATACGAATGTGCGCGGCGCTTTGGCGAGAGTCACATTTTGAAAACCATTCGCTTTCAATCCGTGAAGCTCTTGCAATTCTTTTAAACGAATGTGCGCAGCGCTAAGGCGAGAGCCACATTTCGAAAACCACCCGCCCTCCATGCGTGAAACTGTTGCCAATGTTTAAGCTTCAGTGTCATGAGTGGTGAGGAAGTCTCAGGCGAAACGCCCGGCCCGCCCTAAAAACCTGCCTCGGGGTGCGACAGGGAGAAGTTATTGATATGGAAAAGGAATGGAGGAGGAGGGGGTGGTGGAGGAGGAGGTGGTGGAGGAGGTGGAGGAGGAGGGGGAGGAGGGAAGCGAGCGGCCTCAAGGGGGATTCGTTGTCGACGCCGGCGGACGCGACACCCCGCCGCCGGCGTTCAACGCGGAACGCCGTTGGCGACCCAGACTTGGTCGATGTTGAGCGATCTGGCGATGCGGAAACGGCCGATCGTTCAAGGTTGAGCGATCCCCGCGGTGTCGGGAACCAGCGCCGAAGTCGGCACGACACGAACCTGCCGCAGTCGTCCTTCTAGCCTCAACGGGGTGCAGATCAGATGCATGTTTTTTTTTGGGGGGGGGGGGGGCGTTGCGTTATTCCTCGATTTGGACCGCTGGAGCACATGACCGGCCCTGGAACAACCCAAACTTGATAGTAAGCGTGGACCCCAAACAGCGCGTCATTCTATTGAGAAGGAGAAAAGTGTGCGAGGTAGGTTATCTGGTGGAAGCTATGCGGAATAATACGCTGTGTGGTGTGAATTATGGGGGTGACGCATCTGCGGTGCAATGTCGTGTAAGCTAGGCGGTGTGAACTGGAGATGAAAGCTATGGGTTGCAAGCTATGCGGTATAAGCTATGTTGTGTAGCAATTGCAGTGTAAGCTATGTGGTGCAAGCTATGGTGAGTAATTGATTTTTTACCAATGATTTGACACATCCCACGCTCTTGCAAACATCCCACCCACCCACCCGCAACTTGGTTTGCAAAACCTCTTAAAACCGATTACGACGACACCGACGACAACGACTACGACGACACCGACGACGTCTCCGACGACTTCGACGACGACAACGACGCCGACGCCGACGACGATGAAGACGACGACGACGACGCCAACGACGACGACGACGAGGGAGGAGGAAGGACGACGACGGCGACAACGACGACAACGACGACAACGACGAGGGAGGAGGGAGGACGGCGACGACGCGAACGACGAAGAAGGAGGATGGACGGCGACGCCGACGACGACAACGACGAGGGAGGAGGGAGACGACGACGACACGACGACGACGACGACGACGACGGTGACGAAATAGGAGGGACGACGACGAGACGCCGACGACGGACGACGACGACGACGAGGGAGGAGGAGGAAGGACGACCCCGGCGACAACGACGACGGAAACGACCACGACGCCAAAGAGGACGACGACGACGAACACGAGGAAAGACAGAGGACGTCGTAGGCGACGACGACTACGACGACGACGCGGGAGGAGGGAGGACGGCGACGACGACGACGACGACGCAAGAGCGCGCGCGCACGCTTTTGTTGAAAACCCGTGTTGCGAACCCTTGGGTTTTTGTAGGTTTTTGGGACACACGATGGGTTTTGAAGGATTTCGGCTTACGCGCGCGACGACGCGCGCGTCTGCACTTCGTCCCATTTTTTGCAGAGGATTCTCGCGACGGCACACGCGCAAGGGCGTTCAACAGATTTCGACATGCGCGCGCGCGAAGCCCGTTTAATAGCATTTTGTGAAAATCTTGAAAACCTATGATTTCATTAAGATTTCGCAAGTGCTCGCGCGGAAGCTTTTTTAGCAAATCAGTGTTTCGAAACCCTGTGTTTTTGTATGTTGTTTGGGAACTCGATTGCGAAATCCTTCCAGCACCGAAGGTTTTTCAAAGGATTTCGGCATGCGCGCGCGACGACGCGCGCGTGTGCAATTCGTCCTGTTTCTTGCAAGGGATTCGCGAAAAAGTGCTATGTTAGAAAATGTCACCGCGTAGTGTTTTTTACAAGGGAACCTCAGGGGGGGATACCGGCTGGCCTGGGACATTGTGATTTCATGTTTAGGATGGACATGTGGTCAGAATCATAAATGATTTACATACCCGAAAGGGGGACCGATAACGCCGGGGGGGGTAGAGTCCATCTTCTTTTTAAAAAGAGAATATATGTGGTGGAAGCTATGCCGTGTAAGCTCAGAGCACAGGGCGCCCACGAGGCGGCACGGGCTGCAGCGTGGCGAAACCTCGGCATACCCCCCTCTCCAGCACACGGAACGCCCACGAAGCGCCGACCAGGCGGCACGGGCGGCAACGTGTCGCAACCTCGGGAAGCCCCCCCCCCCAGCGCACGGGACGCCCACGGGGCGCCCACGAGACGCCACGGGCGCGGCAACGTGGCGGAACCTCGGCGTACCCCCCGAGCTCACGGGATGCCCGCAAGGCGCCTTCGAGGCGGCACGGGCGGCCACGTGGCGAACGTTCGGCATACCCACCAAGCGCGGGGCGCTCGGGAGGCGCCCACGAGGCGGCACGGACGGCAACGTAGCGAAAACCTGGAATACCAAACCAAGTCCCGCAGAAAGCCAAGTGAGAAGCCCTCAGTGAGAGCATTGTTTGGGGAACACGCTACCAGAAGATCTGCCCCACGGGAGGGGGTCGGGACCTCGCGCAGGCGAAGTCCTCCTCCTCCTCTTTCTCCTCCCCCCTCCCTCCTCCCTCCACTCCTGCTTCCCCCCAGCCGCCCTGTTCTCTCGTGACGGGGCTATTCCCCGCTTCCGCCCCCCCCCCTCCCCTCCCCTCCTCCCCCCGCCGCATCCTCTTCCGCCGCTTCCTGCCCGTCACTCGCCATGGCACGACGACGGTGATGGGCGTCAGCTTCCCAGCCGCCGCGGGACCGACGCCTGCCCGCGCAGCGTAGTCAGGGGCGCGCCGCTCCGGGCCCGACGAAGGAGCTCGAGTGACAGAGCAGCTATTTAGTGGGCCAGATGCGAACCCTACCCCTACCCCCCACGATTTATGAGGGGGAGGGCGGGGGTAGGGTTCGCATCTGGCTCCCTAGCTATGTAAGCATTGAGCTTTCACAGGTCCGCGCGGTTTTTCTGGGCACGTTGCCGAGCCCCGCTGGCACTCGCGCCAGGGGCGGAGCCACAGGCACCACCACGGGGGTCGGCGCCGGCCCAAAAAATCCTCGCAGATTTCTTGAAGACCAAGAAACGATTTACCTGGAAACGATATGCTGCTCCCGCCGAAGGCGATGGCATAGCTCACATCGAGTTCCAAGCGCAGTTTCACTGCCCTCCTGCCCCTTCCTCCTCCCCCTCTTCCTCCTCCTCCTCTTCCTCCGGCTGCCATTTGCGGGCCAGAGTCGTTGACTTTGAGGTGCAGCCTAATATTTGATTTGACGCAGTTCGCCACTGTGGGATGCATTCTGCCACGGAGTGTCCAACCGAGTTGGCCGCGGTAAAATAAAGATTTCTTGAAGACCAAACTGTTTCATCGCAGATGTCTTGAAGATCTGTTCCTCCCAGAAAGACATCTTCGCTGAGTTTTAGAAACCCTAGCAGATGTCTTAAAGATTTCTGTTCCCCTGGCTGTGAAGCAAGCGGGTCCTGTGGGAAACGGGTCCTGTGTTCTTCCCCCCGCTGTCGGGCCCCCGATGGCCGTCCACCAGCCCCAGGACTGTCAGTACGTGCTCCTGCCTGGAACCCTTGTCCTGTGAGAAGGCTCTCCGGGGACCAGGACCCGCTCTCCTCGGGCCGTGCCTGCCTCCTGCCAGCACCGCAGGATACGAAGGAGAGGGGAAGCGGACCTCGTCGACTTCACCCTGGAGGCGGGCCAGCTCGACGGCGAGATGGTGAAGGTCGGCCTCAAGGGGGTGTCCATCAGGCTCGGCGGGCGCCTCATCGTCCAGGAGCGTCTCGGCCTCGCCCCCCCGTGATCCGGCTGCCTGCGGCAAGTGCCGCCGCCGTGCCAGCCCAACATTGTGGGTGGCGACTGTGCGGGGGGGGGCGCGGGAGGCCGCCACGTGCGACGCCTCGTGTCTGCAGGCGTCGGAGAGTTCTGATGAGGACGATGAGGATTATGAGGATGATGGGTGTGATGACGACGATGCCGATGACGATGCCGATGACGATGATGATGATGATGATGATGATGATGATGATGATGATGATGACGATGATGATGATGATGCTAATGATGATCATGATGTTGATGATGCTGATGCTGATGCTGACGATGGTGATGATGGTGATGGTGGTGATGGTGGTGGTGATGATGATGATGATGGTGATGGTGCTGGTGGTGATGATGATGCTGCTGGTGGTGGTGGTGCTGGTGGTGATGATGATGATGATGATGCCGATGCTGGTGGTGGTGATGATGAGGATGAGGATAAGGCTGACGATCATGATGATACTGATAATGATTATGATGATGGTGATGGTGATGGTAATGGTGATGGTGATGGTGATGTTGATGACGGTGATGATGATGGTGGTGGTGATGATGACGATGAGGGTGAGGGTGAGGGTGAGGGTGAGGGTGGTTGTGATGATTACGGCGATGATGATGGTGATGCTGATGATGCCGATGATGATTACGATGATGATGACGATAATGACGACGATGATCCTCAGTTTTAGTATTATGACGAGGATGGTGATCATACTTAGGATGGTACTGATGATGATGCTGTTGCTGCTGTTGCTGTTTCTGTTGCTGTTCCTGCTGATGATGATGGAGATACGTGTGGTGATGATGCTGGTGCTGATGATGTCGCAGGTCATGGTGGTGATGACGACGACAGCGATGATGATGATGATGATGATGATGATGCTAGTGATGATGATGATGATGATGATGATGACGATGATGGTGCTGACGATGATGATGATGATGATGCTGATACTCATGATGATTTTGCTGATGATGATGATGATGCTGATGATGATGATGATGATGATGATGATGATGACGATGTTGATGGTGACGGTGATGACGATGCTGATGGTGATGATGAGGCTGATGGTGATGATGATAATGATGATGGTGATGGAGATGCTGCTGATGCCGATGATGATGTTGCTGATGCTGAGCGTGATGATGATGCTGATGATGGTGATGATGCTGACGATGATGATGGCGCCACCGCCGACCACGACGGTTATGATTTTGGGTGTGGTGATGAACATGGTGGTGAAGATGATGTTGCTGTTGATGCTGCTGCTGGTGATGATGGTAGTAATGACACCTTTTTGGGCCGTCTTGGGGCTGTCTTGGCCTCCTGTGAGGCAGTCTTTGGGGTTCCTTGGGGTCCTCTTGGGCAGTCTTGGGGCTCTCTTTCGCCGGCTGGGAGCTCTCTTGGGCCGTCTTGGGGCCCTATTGGCTATGTGGTGGGTGTCTGGGGGCCGTTGTGTGGCCGTCTCGGCGCCGTCTTGGGCCGTCGAAGGGCCTTCCAAGGCCGTCTTCGGCTGTCTTACGGCCGCCTTAGATGCCTTTCGGGCCATCGTGGAATGTTCTTGGGCCGTTTTGAGCTGACGGTCGCCCGAAAAGGCGATCATGCGAAAATCAATCAAGGAGTCATCGATGTTGGCTCCCTCTTGGAGGCATCTTGGGCCGGCTTGAATCAATATTCGGCCGCCTTGGGGCCATCTTGGACCGTCTTCGAAGCATATTGGGCCATCTTGGTGTCCTTGGTTGCCTGCATGGACCGTCTTGGAAGCTCGGGGCGCATACCCATTCTTTTCAACGAGGGATCGTTGCTTGGGAGGCGCTGGTGCTCTTGGGAGCAGCGCCTGGGAATGCGGGAAGCACACCATCCTCGAGCGGGTGCGCGTGGGACGAGGGGTCTAGGAGGAGCCCCGGGGGCCATCTTGGATGAGATCGATGAAGGAGGGGCCGTAGTACATTGGCGCCCCCGCCCCAGGAGGCCAAAATGCGGTCAACATCTGGATCAAGTCAATGATTTGTGCCTTCTCGCCGAGGCCGTGTTGGACGCTCTGCCTCCTTGCGACGCGACCCCCCTCCCCGTCCAGGTCCAAGAGAGGGGGTATGGGTGAGGGGTCACGCTACCCACCCGCCCGCAAGCCATCTAGCTCACTCCCACCCGCCCTCCCAACACATAGGTAACACCCGAGCCTGAGCATGTTCAGCGGTCGTCTTTGGACGGGCAGCTACTGGGAATCAAAGCCGACCCCAGGTGCGCGACGCTTGAGCGAGGTGCGCCACGCATGCCAGGGGCGCCACGCGCGCCAGGCACCCCTGGGGCCCGAGCGTGCCAGGCACGCCTGGTGCGCCAGATGCACCACGTGCTCCGAGTGCGCCAGGTGTGCCGCACACTCCAGCCGCGCCAGATGCGCCACGTTCGGGGCACGTGCAGAGTGCGTCAGGTGCGCCTGCGCACGTGACAGCACACATCGGGAAACACGTCGGCCCCCGCCATCCTTGTCGAAGGCCAATGCTCATCATTGTGTCTGGTGGGCCTCCGCACAGCAGGCCACGCGCCACCACCCCCGCCGTCCCTGTCAAAAACCACTTGACAGTGATCGCGGGATGGCCGCGCATGATCCAGATTTAGTCGCGAGGTGCATGTGTTTTTGTTCAGGGATGGTAGTCCTGCGCGCAGCAGGGAATCTGCTGACAACCCCGCCGTCCCTGTCAAAAACAATGCAAAGTGCTCGCGGGCCTCACGAACATGACTCAAGACTTTGCCCACGAGTGTATGTGTCTATTGGTTTTTGACAGGGATGGCGGGGGGGGTGGGGGGACGCATCGGATTGGCTGCGCATGCTCCACATGTGGGGGCAGAGTGTGGTTGGTATTGTTTTTTGACAGGGATGGTGGGGGGCGGGTCCGCATTGAGTCGGCGTAGTTCCGGGTCGGCCGCCTGCCGGGTGGGGGAGGGGGCCCCCTCCTCCCGAAGGACGCTTCGTGGACTGTCGAGACTGGTGAGAAGGTGGCTCTGGTCGGCCCCAACGGATGCGGCAAGACGACGCAATTGCGCATCCTCACGGGCGAGTACGTGGCAGACGCTGGCGAGGCCTGCGTGCGGGGATTCGAGAAAGTCCTGCGACTTCGTCACTCTTGCACAGCAGCTGGGAATGTTATATAATCAGCTTGTTCTAGAAAACGTGTAGGAACGCTCCGTGTACTGCATCACCACGTGACCGAGCCATCCTGTGCTTATTTCAAGGAAGCCACGTTGAAAGGGGAGGCACAGTGTTGCCGCAGTGCTCCAGTTCATGGAACGAGAGTAGTCGTTTCTGTTGGCACTGAGTCGCAGTATTTGTTGAGATGTCGCTCCCCAGGGCTATATTGCCACATCCTGGCTTCTGATGCTTGCTGGCGGATACGCGCGAGCGCAAACAATGCGATGGGGGCTAGGACAAGAACATTTGCAGAGGGAGAAGGGGCATCCAACACATACACATGTGTCTATACTCATGTATGTACATACACATACCTATACATGTATCTATATGTATGCACATGTGTATATATATATATATATAACGGAAAATCCCGGGCCCAGGGCCCCAGGATTGGACCACGCTTGTACATCGGTGCCCCCCCCGGACGGCTTCCCTGGAAGGACCCCGGGAATCCGATACCGCCTTAGAGCGTTACCAAAACGCCCAGGATGTCTCCAGACAACCCACGAGCTCTCAAAGACGCCCCGAGATGGTTTCAACAAGGGCCAAGAGGCCCCGAAGACTCCTGACGAGCGCTCCAAGAGGCGCCCTAAGAGGGCCGTTGGAGGTTTAAATCCTCCCATTCCCTTCGGACAACATACATGTTTAGCACCTTCGCTTCCTTGGGTCATCACAGCGTCCAAAACGACCCAAGGAGGCTTCAAGACAGCTCACCAAGGCCCCAAGACGACCGAAGAGGGCCCTCAGACAATCCAAGGGGCCCCCAACGACGGCCCAAGAGAGCCCCAAGGGGGCTCCACGGGAGTCCCACGAGGACCCCAAGAGGGGACCAAGATGGGTCGAACAGCCCCTTCATCACATCGAAGATGGGACGCCGAGCCCTCACACAAAACAGAACTTCCAGGATTAGACACTAGAACTGAATCGCACGAAGCGCGCGTGGTTCTAGTGTATGTATGTTTGTATGCAAGAATGTAGGTATGCATGCATGCATGCATGCATGTATGTATGTATGTATGTATGTATATGCTTAGGTATGCGCAAAAGTGTATATGTATATGTATAGGTATTTGTGTCTGTGAACGTACATACACATATACGTACACGTCGATGGAAACTTATATGTATAGGCAAAGACATGCATATGTTTGTATAGTGTATGTATGTCTGTGTCAAAATATGCATGAATACGTAGGCATGTTTGCGTGTATGTATGTATTTATGTTTGTTTGAGTGTACATGTGTATGTGTGTATGTATGTACGTATGTATGCGTACCTGTATGTATGTATGTAAAAGTTTGTAGGTTACAACTATATTTATATATGTGTATATGTTTTTGTATAGACCCACTCTTTTCTTATATTTTTATAAGCCCGGGCGGGGGGACAACCCGTCCCCCCCCCAAAACCGGACTCCCGGGACCTGGGGCGCTGGGGCCCTCCCGACGGGCCTCGAAGCGGCCACCGGGCCTCGTAAAGCGTTTTGCCAAGCTTTCCCAGCACACTTAGGGCGATCAGGGGGGTCATCGGAGACGTCCCAGAGACCCCCAAGACAGCACAAGAGCGCTCCAAGAGTGACCGACGTGATCTCAAGATGGCCCAAGAGGCCTCCAGGACGGCCCCAAAGAGGCCTCCAAGAGCACTCCCAAGAAGCCCCCCGAGGCACAAATCGGAGATTTTCTGCAGGTTTTTGGTGAATTTTGGGGTTCTCCTCTTTTCGGAAATCCCGACGCTCCAAGACGGTGGTCTTCTGGGCGTCCGAAGCCGGGCTCCCAAATCGCCCCACAACCATCCGAAAGGGCTTCCAGGCAGTCCAAGAGAGCCCCAAAACGGCACAACACGGGTCCAAGATGGCCCGCAGAGAGCCCCATGGCGGCCCAAGATGGCCCAAAGACACCCTACGAAAAATTCCAAATCGTGATTCGGTCGTTCAGTGAGACGGCGGTTGGAGGCAGGGTGGCCCGAGGGAGCCCCCCGAGGCCCCCAGAATACGCCTTGGAGGCCTCCAGAAGGCCTTAAGAAAGCCCGAAACAACTGTTGTGAGGCCCCTACAGGCTCTCCAAGGAGGAGCCTCCGCAAAAAAGAGCTGAGGAGGATGGGGAGAATGCGCAAGGTATGCCGAAAATAAGGAACAATACGCATGGAGGAAGGATAACGAATAACATCATTATAGCGGTGATGCTGAAAAAGGCAATCAGGAGTTATCGCTAAATTGTCGGCTTGACCTTCCTGCCATTCCGCCTGCATACCAAACTTCAAGGACCAAGGTGCATGGCGCGAAGCGCCACTGCAGCCTTGTATATATATATATATATATATATGCATATATATATATATATATATATGTATGTTTGTGTGTGTGTGTATAGATCCGGGGGGGGCAGGCCTGGGGCCCGAAAACAGCTGCCCCGACCCTCAATGGCAGGACCGGGGCCCCGGACTGCTTCCAAGACCCCCTCGTGACGGTCCTGGCCGGCCCCTGAAGGGGTGGAATGAGCTCCCAGGAGGCCCAAGAGCCGATGAACGATGCACACAAAACGCCCAAGATGGCCCCCAGACGGCTCAAGAAGCCTTGGATTCCTTCCGAGAGAGCCCCAAGACCGTTCCCAACAGGGCTCCGACAGGCAAAGAACTTTGATTTCCCATTGGTTTTCCAATATTTCTTGTTTTTTCGCTTGTTCAAGTTCCCGACGCTCCAAGACTGTCCGAGAGGCCGCGGCGACGCCGTAGCCTGCGCCAAGCAGTCGTCGCAATCGCTGCCGCATGGGTTTTGCAAACTCAGATGCGGGTGGGTGAGTGTGATGATTGCGCGAGCAGTGGAATTGAGTGACAACTTAAAGATCGGCTGGGTGAATTGCATCATTTAGATTGCGGCACATCGAGTGCACAACATAGATTGGACCACGTACGTATATTCGCTTTTCTAAAACAGTGTGAGGATCTACCCCCCGGGGTTAACGGCTCACCTTTCCGTATTGCAATTTCCATGTGGTTTTGCCCCATCGTCCATCTTGGTTCCGAATTCGTACTATTCCAGGCAGACCGGAGTTCGCACCCCCCCTTTCATCCTCTGGAAAATTACGCGCGCGCACTCGTTTATCAAAAACCGTTATTGTTCAAGAGTATTTTCCAAAGAAAAAGACGACATGCACACGCTCGCGTCGTCGCGCGCATGCCGAAATTTATGAGACACCGCAGGTTTCGTACGGATGTCTAAATCGAGAGTCACGAACACATGCAAAAACACACACAAATGCGATCGCAAGAAAAGTTGTCAAACAAAGTCTGCGCTCGCGTTCTGGCGAATCCTGATAAACAAGTCATCGGCGTTTCAACCTGTTCATAATATGCTTCCGAGCTGGCCTCTAACGCGCGCGTGTCGAATCCGTTCGAATGCCATAGCGCGGATGCTGTCGCAATAATCTCTTGCAACAAGTGGAGCGAAGTGCGCGAGCGCGCGTCGTCTTGCGCGCAGGCCGGAATCCTTCAAAAACCGTCGGTGTTGTAAAACATTCAATATCGAACGCCCCGAAAACATACTAAAGACATGGCTGTGCAATGTCAGTGTTCAAAACAATATTGCGCTCGCGCTCTTGCGGACTCTAAAGCAAGCCATAGATTTTCCTACTGTTTCATCAAATTCCGCCAAGCGGGCTGCTCGCGCCGCATGTCGACCTCATTCGAACGCCCTTGCGCGCGTGCTGGGGGGGGTCGATGATCAATATCGTCGCCGTGATTGGCTTTGCCGTTGTCATCGCCACCCTCGTCACCATCATTGCTACTCTCATAATCGTGTCTGCCGTTGCTGGCGTTGCCATGATACCGCGCCCGCCCAAGTCACCGACTCGCACTGAAGTGTCTGCTGGGAAGTGTCCAGCAGTCAGCGCCACTGCGGCCGCGTCGGTCGCACCAGTCTAGCTGGCCGCTGTGCGTGCGAGCGTGCGCGGGCTAGCGCGGCCGCACAGATACACTAGCCAACGACAAGCAGTCGTCGCAATCGCTGCCGCATGGCTTTTGCAAACCAAGATGCGGCTGGGTGGGTGGGATGATTGCGCGAGCAGTGGAGTTAACAACTTCACGATCGGCCTGGTGAGTTGCACGTGCACCACTCAGATTACGCCACATAGAGTGCACAGCATACATTGGACCACGTATATCGCATCACGCAGATTGCACCACGTAGTTTGCACAACATGTGCTTGACAACGTAGATTGTTAGAAGCACGCTGTTGATGGCCAGCGGTGGCGAACATGTACATGTATACATATATATATACACATAAGCAGAGCGACAGAGAGAGATAGAGAGAGAGGGAGAGGGAGAGAGAGAGAGAGAGAGCGAGTGAGAGAGAGGGAGGGAGGGAGGTAAAACGAGAGAGGGGGGGGAGAGCGAGACAACAGGACGGATCATCTTCAGTCGGCGGCCGCCGGGGATCGAGCAGCGTTCGGGCAGCGGCTGGTCGCGCCGGGGCACCCCTGCGGCATGCGGGGCCGGTGGGGGGCGCGCGCGGGGCGCGAGAGTGGGGCGGAGGAGGGCCCGCGCGGGCCACGCTCAGACCATGTGGACCTTCACTGTGCGTGCCGAGAGTCGTGCACGAGAAGCGGAGAAAAGGGACATTCTCATGTACACGTCGATGTACACTGAGCGAGAGAGAGAGAGAGAGAAATAGAGACAGAGAGAGAGAGAGAGAAAGTGAGAGCGAGAGCGAGAGCGAGCGCAGGAGAGAGAGAGAGAGAGAGAAGGACAGCGAAAGCGAGAGCGAGAGAGAGCGAGAAAGAGAGAGAGAGAGAGAGAGGAAGGGAGGGAGGGAGAGAGGGAAACATATATATATACATATATATATAGAAAGAGAGAGAGAGAGAGAGAGAGAGAGAGAGAGAGAGAGAAAAAGAGAGAGAGAGACAGAAAGAGAGAGAGAGAGAGCGAGAGAGAGAGAACAACAAAACGAAACAAGAGAGAGAGAGAGGACAAAAAAACGAGGGAGAGGGATAGAGAAACAACAAGAACGCGAGAAGGAGAGATGGAATCGAACGCCGTGTTGGACAGGTCCCGAGGCCGCAGACATCCCTGCGAAGGAGGAGCGCTTACACGGACCCCACCGGGAGCGCAGACTGTGAGAGCGCTGACCCGGCTGGCGAACTGATGCGCCTCCATACGCTTCCCCCCGCAGCCAAGACGTTGGAATACGGAACGGCTCGGGTTGGGAAGGGGCTCTCTGTTCCACAGGTTCACACACGCAGCTCTGGGACCGCAAAGGGGATTCGTTCTTTACCCAGCGGTCACAGTGGTAGTAGCTTCATGTTTGGCACGTCCCCCTACAGGAGGACAATTCAAAAATAGTAAAAGTCAGGGGGCGATTTCCCGATTATTTTTGATTATGATTGAATGTGTTTGATTCTTCGTTATTCTTTCCGCCAAAATCCGCCTGTAGGGGGACATGCCCAACCTAATAGTAGCTCAGCTGTACAAGTCCCCATGCATGCAACACTTCCCGGCATTGGGCATGGCACCGAAGAACACGCATGGGAAGCGAGGTAGCTGGGCGGGCGCGGGTGGTGGCAGGAAGCAACAAAAAGAGCATGAGGAAAGAAGGTCGACGAAGAGAGAGAGAGAGAGAGACAAACAAAATAATGGAAGCGTCCACATCAAAGCATGAGAGGCATTGTGATGGCAGAGCGGGGATGGAGGGGGGAAGGCGGTGAGCTGGGACGCCCCGCGCGCCAGTCTGAAACTCGCCCCGGTTCAGGTCATCATGAGCGATAAAAAGATCAAGATGGCTGTGCTGGATCAGAGTTTTGTGGACGAGCTGGACTTTGAGAATACGCTGGAGGACGGGAGAGTAGAGGGTCGGAATTGGAGGAGGAGGAGGAGGAGGAGCAGGAGGAGGAGGGGGAGGAGGAGGAGGAGGAGGAGGAGGGGAAGATCGTTCATTTATGTGCGTGTCTTGGAGGTCCTGGAGGCTTCTGGCGACTTGTGGAAGTAAGGAGGTTTCTTGGATCATGGTTATAATGGTAATGGTGCTGATGGTGATGGTGATGATGCTGATGATGATGATGATGGTGATGGTACAGGAGGAAGAGGTGTCTGGTGACCAGGGTCTCTGGGTGGGCGGCTGGCGGCGGAAGCGCCCGACGGCGGTGAGAGTAGCTACTTGAGCAGGGGACCAGCGGGGGCTGCGATGGTGCACTTTGCCCTGTCCGTCCAGCGATGCCGCTACTGCTGCTGGCCATGTTGCCCCCGACAGGGGGAGAGACAAACGGAGGAATAGGAGGCTTAGAGACCCAAGGAACTCCTTTGTCGAGCCACGTCCCGTCGCCTCGAGTGCCCGCGGGGCGCTGTCCTGCACCGCCAGCGGCAGGACTGTCTCGAGCTCACCCGTGCGAGAGTCAGTTCTGCGCGACGTGCGCTGGGTCGCATCTGATATGCTCAACACTCATTGTCTTGCGTTGAGAGATGGCAGTAACACACCTCTTCCTTTGTAAAAGCTCGTGGAATGCGGCTCAGTCTGCTGGCACACGACCGCGGATGTGTTCCAGAAGCTTGGCGGCAGATCTGGACAGTCAGCCGCACCCATGGGGAGCACCAATGATGGCGACGTCTGGCACAGTCTATGCCCATAGCAAGGATGCCCACCAAGGCTACCTGCGCATCCTTGCGCCTTCGTGAAGATTAACTTCCCTCTATACGTGGGCCCGTGGCCATTTTGGATCAAGCCCATTCGCCCAGGCAAGTGCCTCCCAAGCTGAGCGCTGGGCGCCAGAGTATCGCACCGTACCTCGAAGTCGTGCGCTCAAGCCTGCTTGCGTCGAACACAACGGCCCGCACTGCCACTGTGAGCTTCTCGCTCCTAGACGGTCTTCCCGCCCATGCCGTGAAGATCAGCAGCCGCGGCCGCGGCCTCCACACAGTTTCCGGGCCGGTCGCGGAGCTTGGCCCTGACCAGGATGTCAGGACTGGGACCGCTGCCTTCTCGCGTCCAGCACAATGGTTCGGTGGTAACTCGTATGATCCTCCCACACCATCTGGTTGGCTCCTGCGAATCGCCCAATCGACGCTAATCGACGCTAGCCGACGCTAAATCGACGCCCATCGACGCTGAGTCGGCGCCATCCCCTCGATTACCCGACGCCGATCGGCGCGAATGCATTCTTAAGACGGAGTTACGCGGGCACACGCCGCACCGCCACTGCTAGCTCTGCGATCCTCGCCGATCCTCCCGCCCACGCCGTGGCGGATCGGCGGCCGCGGACGCGTCCTACGCACAGGAAGCCCACAAAGGACGCACGCGCTCCACCACATGCACGAACACGGCCCCCCAAATCCGGGAGCGATGGGAGGGAGGGAGGGAGGGAGGAGGAGGAGGAAGACGAGGAGGAGGAGGAGGAGGACGAGGAGGAGGAGGAGGAGGAGGAGGACGAGCTGGAGCCGAGAGGAGGAGGAGGAGGAGGAGGAGAGGAGGAGGAGGACGAGGAGGAGGAGGAGGAGGAGGAGGAGGAGGAGGAGTTCGCGCAGGGTGCACTCGCGGAAAAAGCCGAGCGTGGACTCCTGCACGCGTGTGCGTCCTCCTTCCGCTCCCTGGGCGCTGTGGCTGCCAGGGGCCCGGTCGCCGAGCCCAGAGCCAGGGCGGCATTGACCAGGGCGAGCGTCGCGTCGGGCACGGCCCTCCACAGGAGGAACAGTCAAAAATAGTCCCAAAATAGTCTTGGGAGGATTTTTCGCAAAATAGTCCCAAAATAGTCCCAACATATTCAAAACACAGTCCCCAACATATTCAAACATAGTCCCAAAATGGTCCCAATATCGTATTGGGAGGAAAATCCAAAACTAGTCCCAAAATAGTCTTGGGATGATTTTCCGAGTATCGTTTGACCATTTTTGAGTATTTTTGATTATGTTTTATTGTTCGTCCCAAATCCCCCTGTAGGAGGACACGCCCGACCTAAGACGAGCGGGCGAGGGCGCGGAAAATAGGCCGCGCACCGCGGGGCGCGAGGGCGCAGAGTA